TAAGAGAAAATATATTATTTAATTATAACTTTTTATATAATAAACATATTTATGTCTATGAATATTGATAAATTATGAGATAAATTATAAAATTTAATATCTCTAAATAAATTTTGTTAATTCTTTGATAGTGAAGGTATTTTCAAACATTGTTTATACACGTAATATCTTGTGATAGTCAAATTTTAAATGGTTTTATTCTACTCTCGACGTGCTGTTTATAAGAATAGATGTTGGAAGTGAAATGTTAGGAATGAAAGCATCATGATGATCGTGTATTCTATCCTATTTATACATTCATTATTGTATAGAAAAGCGACAGATAATATATATGACACACACATACTTATCGATTATGTTATGCGTGTATAAATTGTTTTACTAATTAAATAGATTTTATTAAAGTCTGTTTTGAGCAAAAAATACATGACACATATACCTAAGAGTTCCATTCTCGAAAGATTCGAATGTGAAATAATTTAATGAGGAATGTTAAATTTATCGAGAATATTTGTATTCTTTATGTTTATTATTTATAAATAAGAAATATTGGTTTTATTGATCTTTGCATACTTTTAATATAAAAAATATATAAAATTGCAAAATATTATATTTTCAAGAAATAATTTTATTAAAAAAATAGGATTCATCACTTGGAAAGTTTTTATTAATTTTACAAAAATAGATATTACGAAATTTGTTTAAAATAGCAATTTTTATAAATAAATGTGATTACATTTTAGAAGTGATAGATTACTCTACGTACAAAATTGAAATTAGTTACTTTAGAGACAATATCTTTAATGCAAATTTTAATGTAGTTTACGTATTGTTAAGTGCGAATTAACATACTCACGGTATTCCTCATTCATGTAAATTGCACACTCGAATCCTGTTTCACGCGAGATTGTACGTAAGTGGCTCTTATACATATGGAAAGTATCTGTAAGTAATCCGAGAGGAAGGATAAACTTGATGAATGGATGATTTATATAGCATATACGCAAATATGCTTATACATAAATACAGGGTGTGTGAATGCATTATTGCCAGTACGAGTTAGATTAGGTAATGTTTGATCGAGTCGTATAATGGCATCGAGCGTGATTGCACGGTGCGTCGCAAGTGCATCGAGTCGTTTCTACGAAATTGCATCGTCTCCTCCTAACTGAGATTCACGATACGCTCGTTTTTATACAGGTCGACCTGGGTATCGCGCATTGTTTCTTCTCGGCTATAAACTCTTCAATAAATTTCTCGAAAAACATAGCGTCACGTCATCTCTCTTAACGAAGACTCCAAATTGATTCGGGAATTTATAGACGAGGACCAGCGGTACTTTGATGCATCCTGTATATATAGCTGTGTATGTTGTTAACTTAGTATTACTATTAACAAAGTTAATCGTTGACGTAGTTGGCGATAATAAAGATTTTTTAAAACCTATTCTGTGAAGCTAAGGTCAAACCAGATATGTTAAGGACCGAAAGATAATTTATTATCCCCCCATGCTAGGTTGTATTAACATAGTCGATTAATTATATTAGTAGCAATGTTTAAAAAAATAATTTATAAAAGAAATATGTTGCTCTTATATAAAACAAAGATGTAATTATTATTGTTATTAATATAGATCAATTGACATTGATTTCTAACACAGTGAAAATAATACTTAGTTCACAGAAAACAGAAAAATAATTTATAATTCAGCGGAAAGTGAGATGTTAATAACACAAATTTGCAAGACATGATATAGTTTATTATAAATTTATAATAAGCTATATTATTAATTTATAATTTTCATTTTTATACAATTAATATACTGTTATCGAGTTATTAAAAGAAACTAAAAAAAACTTTCAAAGAAAAAATTAATTAGTTCTTTATTAATTTAATTTAATTTCCATCTAAATTATATAAATTCACAGCAATAGCTGTCTTAGAAAAAAAATTCACGTTTATCTTTACTTTCTCGTAATTACTATATGTACTATATATACTTAATTGTTTTGAGGTAAAATTAATTTCTATTAACGCGACTGGCAATTAACATGGTTAATAGTAATAAGTGTAATAACAAGTCACAAGGCAACATTTTTATCGCAAATAAAGAAGCAATAAATAATAAACGGGGTTTATCATTCAAGTTAATCTCAAGCGTGGCAACACATTTAATTTTCGAAGTGTTGCACCGCCCGACTCTCGAGCGTTCGTGACAATTCTCCACATACATAGAAGATCCTGTTCTTTTCGATTTTTTTACGCCTGTACTTTTCCGTTCCAATTACGGAAAGCGTAAAGAAGTACTACTGAGAAAGGAAACAGATCTTCAGTGGGAGAATAGGATGGAAGAGAGTGTGTGCAAATTGTCGTTCAAACGCACCTTTACGCCAGGGATGAGTAAAATACTAAAGTAAAATATATATGTGTATATATATGTATATATATATATATATATATATATATATATATATATATATATATACACACACACACACATATACCAGGAGACGTTCCAAAAGAGATGAATATATGTATATCTCCTAAATATTTCTCACAATTTTCTGCACGCTTGCCCGAGAAACATATAAATAATTACTCAATTGTTGCCTAATACATTACAGAGTTATTATATTGGAGTAAAAGATATTTAAGAGTGGATACGGATTTTCAGTTATACATGAAGGTCTACAGTTCCTGTAATTCTCATCTCCAAATCTTTTACAAGAAAGGTTTATTGACTTTTGGAAAACATATAGTTCTTAACATATTGATCATTTCAAGAAATTTGTTAAAAACATATTTTTTTATGTTTTCGCATAAGAAAAGAATATAAAAGCTCGCTATTTTCTTGTAATATCCCCAAAATTTTTTATTGACAGAATAGTGCGATAGATTGATAAAACGATGAGCGAGCTACCTCTAATATTTGAGGATGGAAATAGTACTTTGCCCATCACTGGTCGAGATTGTCTCTCGGCGATTAATCGAAGGTGAAAGAAAAACGTCCGATTGTTATAAAGTGCTCTCGAATATTTTGTAAGTCCTCCTTCTGTAATGCACTCTTCCTACGAGCGAATCGTCCTTCTTTAGATCACACTGTTCTACAAGATCTTGAAATCGGTTGCTAGTATCAGTGGTTTCTCTATATCTTTCTCTCTCTTTCTCTCTTTCTCTATATCTATATTAACGGCTTATTCGCCGTTTCTCCTTGCGGTGAAATAGCAGATATATGATTAACAAGTCGATACGCATGTATTTCGAAGTAACAATCCTCAGGGAAGAACAATTAACGCGAACAATCGGGATTAATCGATTACTGTCTATTAGCAGCGATAGGTGTTTGCTGATTGCGATTTTTCCGAGAGTTTAATCTCTCTATCAAATACTCTCTATCAAATGATGGTTGTTCTGCTTTAGCTCTACAGATGTACAATCTACAGATGTACAATCCATTGAGAATTTTATTAATCAGGCTTTTAAAGTAGATCTGATTTTTCCGACGAGTAAATTAATCTTCAATAAGATTATGACACCGATAGATTTCAGTGGCAATACGCACTACATAATATTGCAAGCTGACACTTCGAATAAGCTTCTTTAATCGCACAAAAGCTCGGATCTATCACTGAGGCAAGAAAAAAGTGCCACTCTCAATCATCGTGATCCACATTTTGCACGGATCGTTTTTACGCTTATTAACGAGACACAATAAATCTTAACTTTCTCTCGTCTTCGCTAGACTTGCAATCGTTCACTCTCCCAATCTCCAATCCCCTCGTCTCATCCCTCCCAAAGGTCATTTATGGATAAGCAAATCGGTGTGTGAATTTTATATATATTTATGTGGCTGAACCTTGCGTGGGCAGTTTTAACGATACATCGATAACAACGATATTTCGTGTAAAAAGAAAATTTCTTCAATCTCACGCGTGCGCGCTTTCCTTTAATATAATCGATTGATCTTCAGGTGACCGATACTTCTTGCGAAATGAAAATTGGACTATGACTACTGTTTCCTACACTAATGGTGACATAACTTTCGTGAGGTGGTTAAAAAAAAATTATTCTTCTGTCTGTTCTCTTTTTTCTTTAAGAGAAAACGCTCTTTATCGACAAAAAAACTCTAGACATATTGTTATCACTGCCCTCTGATTCTCTATCTGCATATCCTTCGATGTACTGACAACTAATGTTTATACTACACTAAATTAACTTCTATAAAAATATATTTAGTGAGCAGTGTTTACTCTAACTATTAACTTATATACTATGTCGAACTTAAAAGCGTGTCGCGAATAAGCACTGGAGCAGTCGGGTTCGTCCATAATTGGGTATTAATTTCTATTTACTTTACTCTAAACATAAATAAAAGTGAAGTTTTTATCTAAATTTAGCGATTTGTTTTGCAAAGATGAAATGGGAAAGATATTTTTTAAAAATATTTTTAATTTAAAACGAAAATGAAAGATAAACAAATAAATCTTGATTTAAATAAGAGATGTAACAACTGCATCCAAAATCAAAGATAGGAATCTAATAAATTAGGAAATTGTAATTTATAAATTTCTATTAAATTAAAAAATATAACGCAATTTGATTATTTATAAAAGTAATTATTTTAAAAAGTAATTATTTATAAAAGTAATTATTTATAATAGAGTTGATAACAAACTAGAAATCCTGTATAATAGT